GGGGTTGAAAGGCTGGTTTTTTTCCCCTCCCCTCCCCCCCTCCCAGTTATTATTTTATTTTTTTTATATTTTTTTTTTTGACAGGCAGAGGACCAGTGAGAGAGAGACCGAGAGAGAAAGGTCTTCCTTTGGCCGTTGGTTCCCCCCTCCAAATGGCCGCCACGGCCGGGGCCCTGCCGGCTGGCGCACCGCGCTGATCCGATGGCAGGAGCCAGGTGCTTCTCCTGGTCTCCCATGGGGTGCAGGGCCCAAGCACTTGGGCCATCCTCCACTGCACTCCCTGGCCACAGCAGAGAGCTGGCCTGGAAGAGGGGCAACCGGGACAGACTCCGGCGCCCCGACTGGGACTAGAACCCGGTGTGCTGGCGCCGCAAGGCGGAGGATTAGCCTAGTGAGCCGCGGCGCCGGCCTCTCCTTCTCTTTGAAGATCAGAGAGTGTCAGGACTTTTCCTCTAGTTCTTGGGTTTCTGTTTTTGTTTTTCATGTCATCTCTCTCGTTTCAGGCTTAGCTATCTCTAATTATTGCTATTAAAATAGATCTGTTGCACACAGCCTCCAACGCAAGCCATCTGTCCTGTGTTTTTAAGTTAAGCAAGAGGTTGGAAACCAGATCATCAAGCTTGGTAGAATTACTAATAAATGTTGGATAAATAAAGAGTGGTTAAAGGATAAACAAAGAAGGACTTCCCCAGGAGGAACCCTGATCTTTAATGTGTGATGTGGATCAACCATTTTGCCTCAGAAACCTTTTGTGTTTTCTTTCGGGTTGGCAGCAGCCTTAGAAATGTGTAATCCAGCCGCCACCTGAAGTAGAACTTTCCTTTAGAATCTCTGCCAACCGCTCTTCCGGCTTTCAACAATGGACAGCTCCTTCCTTTGAAAGCTGGTCCCTTCATTCCTTATTCCCAGTTCTGTTCTCTGCAGTGGAGGTTGCTCGACAGCTGAACCCTGAGTTAATGTAGTTTGTTGAGCGGATTTTTTTAGAGACTGCTTTGCTTCTATGGCTTGTTAGGAAACAACAACAGGAAATAAGGTAAAACTAATAACAATAGAAAACCGATCAGACACTGCCCTGTATACCCTAGGTGCTGTATGAGGATTAACTCATTTACCCTTTGAATTGGTCCTTTTTCTGCTGCTGTAATGCCACAGACTGGGTGAGCTGCAAACCATGGAAGCTTCCTGGCTCACAGTTCGGCAGACTTCGTGTTCAGGAGCTCAGTGTCAGCGTGTGACCCATGCCTCTTTGCTGCATCATAATACAGTGGAAGGTTAAGTGGGACAGAGAGTGGGGAAAGAGGGTGTCATACTTACCAGGAAACTCACTCTTTAAAAAAAAAAAAAAAAGATTTACTTATTTTATTTGAAAGGCAGAGAGAGAGAGAAAACGCGTGCGCGTGCGCACAGCTGAGGTCTTCTATCTGCTGCCTCACTCCCCAAATGGCCACAATGGCCGGGGCTGGACCAGGCAGAAGCCAGGACCTTAATTCAGGTCTCCACGTGGGGACACTTGGGCCATCTTCTGCTGCTTTCCCAGGTGCAGTATCAGGGCGCTGGATCAAACGAGGAGCAGCTAGGGCTTGAACTTGCACCCATATGGGATGCCGGTATTGCAGGCATAGGTTTAACCTGCTACACCACAATTCCGGCCCAGAAAACTCACTCTTGAGATAAACAACCAACTCTTGAAATTGACTATTCTTGACCTAATCACCTCTTAAGTGCTTAATCCTGTTGCGATGGCAGCATGAATTTTGGGGAGGACATTCAACCCATAGAACTCTTTGTGACTGTCTAGGGATAGAGCTGTTATTATTGTCCCTATTTTGCAAATGTAGGAACGAATGCAGGGAGTTAAAAGCTGTACAGCTAATGGTGAAAGGTGGAGCTGAGACCGAACTCCCACACTCTGGTTCCGGAGTCTGGCTGCCAGTTCCTGTGCTCTTGCTTTTCTGTGACATTTAAAACACTGTGACATGTGCTCTGGAGAGAATGAAGTTGGAGACCCACCTGTTAATGGTTTTTCTTATTACCATTATCCAGAATACCCCATGAATTAAGTAAAAAAGTTGCTGCTACATGGACTCCAGAAACCTTTCTTTGGGAGTGCTTAATACCACATGTGAGGTTTGGGGACTTAAAATAGGTTTTATAGAGTCCAAAGCTAAATTTTCTAATATTGGTACTTACTTTTTTCTATGTAGTAGAAGCATAGCAAATGTAATTCTGAATTTTTTTTCTTATTTATTTGAGAGGTAGAGTTACAGACAGACAGAGGGAGAAACAGAGAAAGTTCTTCTATCCACTGTTTCAATTCCCAAATGGCCGTAATGGCTGGAGCTGGGCTGATCCGGAGCCAAGAGCCAGGAGCCTCCTCTAGGTCCCCCCCACAGATGCAGAGGCCCAAGTACTTGGGCCATCTTCTACTGCTTTCCCAGGCCATAAGCAGAGCTGGATCAGAAAAAGAGCACCGGCACCCATATGGCATGCTGGTGCTGCAGGCGGAAGCTTAGCCAACCATGCCACAGCATGGGCTCCACAGTTCTGAATCTTATTTAGCTCAAATACATCAGATAGAAAGCAATTTTCATTTCATGCATTAGTGGAAATACTTTTATTTCCATTCTTTGAGAGTCTTCTACAGGTACATTTTGGGTTGGACCAAGTGCTGTGTTTGTGTGCACTTAAGATTTCTGTAAATTGGTAGGCTAAACCTGTGCCACATTGGATTTTTAGACCTTGGAGTCCTCTGTGACTCACTGGCGGTCTAAGCGTCTCTGTGACAAGTGTAAACAGACTGGCTTGCGTTCCTAACCAGACCTCCTTCAGAGAATAAACCATTTCAGAGACTCTGTGTTCACTCTGACATCATGTTTTCCTTTATATTTCAACTAGTGAAACGGGTTCCTGGAGCATCTGAGTATCCCATCAAAGACTTGAGTACCCCTCCCAGCTCTTCAGGTGGTGGAGGAAACCTTGGGCCTGCAACCAGCCCTGCCAGGAGCAGTGACATGTTGTATCTGGTCGTTGGTTGCGTGCTGGGCGTCATGGTTCTCATTCTCATGGTGTTCATTGCAATGTGCCTATGGAAGAATCATCAGCAGAATACCATACAGAGTAAGTCATTCAGAAATCCTTCTCCTTTCCTGAAGATGGGTAGAAAAATGTTGCCAGGATAAATATTGATTTCTAACATGCTCCTGTGTTAATGCCATGGTCTGAAACACATTAGATATTCTTCATTCAGAGGAGGTGACTTGAAGACTTTTCCACTTGTCAGCCAAAGTAAGTAGAGCATCAGATTAAACTGCCCAGGAGAAATAAACACCAAAGCCCAAGCTACGCAGGTCAAGTAAATAGCTGACTTCGTGCTGGGAAGCTCCAGCTCCCTGGACCACCGAAGCAGATGAGAACTCGAAGTGCCAGCTCTGGAACTGCTCTAGAAACACCCCCACACTGGCCAGCCGGGTCCAGAAGAGGCATGATGGGAAGAGAGAGAGTGAAGACTTCTCTGTTCTGTCACTGCGTGGCACCCACAGAGGGAGATACCGCTTTCTTCTCTCTGGTCCTTATGCACCAGAACTGTCCCAGCATTGCATCCTCTCCCTCACCTGGAAATAGGTGTGCTTGGGCTGTCGGTGGTGGCACTGTTGTGAGACCTAGAACCCTTTTTCCCGCTCCTCAGTCCTTCTCACCTCACCTTCCTGCCTGTCCTGACCCCTCAGCTGTTATAGAACAGGATTAACACATCAAGTAGGGATTTTAGTTTGTGGTGGGAGGAAGCTTTTTGGTTTCCTCTTTGTCCCCAGAATGAGGAAATACACAAAAACAAAGGACCCCAGCAGGGATGGACAGTTTCAGCGGCTATAGCTGATCCCACATGTGGCCCCCATGCAGTCAGTAACTGAGGGCAAAGAAAATCCATTGTAAGTGAATGGTGCTGTCCACGGCATAGACAGGGAAACAGGTGATGGTGCTGGCGTTAGGCTGAAGGGTTGGATCATTTGATTGGGCCTTTCTCTCACTGGCTTTAGTGCTATTACCTGTAGTGGTGTGAGTGGATGCAGAATCATGAGAAGAATAATTTGAATACAGTTCTCTGAGCACTGTTAATCTGAATCAAGTAATTTTCCTTTGGGACCTCATAAACCTTTATTTACAAAGGGAAAGTCATTCTAGTTGGGTTCCTTCCCTCATTGATTCAACAGATGCTCCATGACTGTTGTCTGTGTGCCAGGCACTGTGCTGGACCATGGAAAACAGTGCCAAATAAGATGAACGTGGGCACTGCCCTTTCAGGGAGGGCTTACAGTTTAGTGGGGAAGATCAGCAGGTGCGTGGACAGTACACATCTGTGCAAGACAATCCAGCAGGAGGAGAGGCTGTGGAGGGGAGGCACCGTCAGCCCAGTCTCAGGGAGCCCTAGTGCCTTTGAAGAATTTATGGAAACTCTGACAACAAATCCTGTGCAGTTCCAATTCTGTACTTTCTTAGGGACATTTTACTGTTTCTAAGTAGATCTGGTAGATACGCCTCTGTGCATCGGACTTGTCAGGCAGTTGTTGAAATGCTTTTAATAGAAGGAATGAGGGTAGCCTTTCGCCTTTGGTACCCCACAGCCTGCACATCGGCTGTACGGAGGAGCTAGATGAATAGTCAGTGAGTGCATACACAACCCCATCCTTTTACGTATGAGGGTTGTTTATTGCTGTTTGAAATGTCTTACCTAAAGTTAGTCTTCTGTTGCTTCAGACAGTTTTTCTCCAGCACTTTGAAGTGTATGGAATTTAAACACCATTTCTTGGTGTTGCAGTAGTTGGATGGTTTTGGCTGGCACAGTTTGTTTATTCTCTTTTGAGTGATTTCTGCCTGGATCGTTTCTCTTCCCCCATGAAGAGAGTCATGATTAACTCAGAGTTCGTAGCTACCTCCACACTGTGAAGAAAGCGGAGCAGTAACTTCATTAAACCAGAGCTCACCAGTAGGCTTTCAGTTAACATTCTTAGAATATTTTATTTTAGTCTCTTTGTAGTTCCTTAGAGGGTTCGTTAATAAATCTTGATTAGCAAGATGGTTATCCTTTCCAGTATCTGACTTTTTTTTGTTTTTGTTTTTGGTTCTCTTTTAACAGAATATGACCCTCCAAGATACCTCTGCCAGGGGTCAGATATTCACGGGCAGATGATGGATTACGCCACTCTCTCGGGAGCGAACCCCATCAATGGCAGCGTTCGCCGAGGCTTCCTGAGCAATGGCGGTCTCACCAACGGCTGCTCCCATCTTCACCATAAGGCCCCTAATGGCGTCAGTGGGATGGTGAATGGGAACCTCAACGGAGGGCTTTATTCCGCCCATACGAACTCTCTAACCAGGACACGTGTGGATTTTGAACATTCTCATCATCTAGTGAATGTAAGAGAAAGTCATTAGAACCAGAAGCCTCAGGGCTCGTACTCCGTGCCGAGGGGCGCCAGGGGTGCCGAGGGGCAAGAGCCGGCTCAGCGTGCTTGGCTTTTTTCCGTATAGGAACTTCAGAGGTTCACTTCCATGGAAATAGTTTGTGTCACTGGCAGGCCCTTGATCCTGAGTGCTCTTTGTATTATCTATTATCGAATAATAGTTATATTCATTACTTCAGTTTCTATTTAATTTACTTGAAAAGCAGAGGGAGAAAGATCGAGAGAGAGAAATCTTCCACCTGCTGGTTCACTCCCCAAAAGCCCACAACAGCCAGAGCCAGGCCAGGCCAAAGCAGGGAGCTGGGAACTCAAACAGAGTCCCCCATGTGGATGATGGTACCCAAGTTCTTAGGCCATCACCTGCTGCCTCCTAGGACGTACATCACCAGGAAGCTGGAATCAGAAAAATATCCTCCAAGACTGGAACCCAGGCATTTCCATGTGGGATACAGGTGCTCCAAGTGGCATTTTTTTTTAAGATTTATTTATTTTATTTGAAAGAGTTACAAAAAGAGAAGGAGAGGCAGAGAGAGAGAGAGAGAGAGAGAGAGAGATGTCTTCCATCCACTGGTTCATTCCCCAATTAGCCGTAATGGCTGGAGCTGTGCCCATCCGAAGCTAGGAGCCAGAAGTTCTCCTGGGTCTCCCACACGGGTGTGGGGGCCCAAGGATTTGGGCCATTTTCCACTGCTTTCCCAGGCCATAGCAGAGATTGGAAGTGGGGCAGCTGGGACACAAATCGGCACCCATATGGGATGCTGGCACTGTAGGCGGCGGCTTTACCCACTACTCCATAGCACCAGCCCTTCAAGTGGCATCTTAAACTGCTATGGCAAATGCCCACCCCTGATGATAGAGGAATACCAGTAAAGAACAGACTAGACATGAAGCAGAAATACCACTGGACCTAGACCAGACTTTGATTTATTTAGAGCAGAGTCTGAAAACTCAAATGCCGAGAAGCCGAGCAGATCATGAAACTATACAGCAAGTTGGAAAGAGAGGGTTGGGGTAGAGGTGGTAGTAAACTGGACGGCACAGGTGCTGTGTAAAAGCAGCTGCTTCAGTCCAGCACCTGTTGTCCTGTGGGACTGAGGGCCTGGTGGTGACAGCTTTTCTGATTTGGCCAGAATTTTACATATAGAAGCTAATGCAGATTTCTGGAGGCATTGTGTAGGCTGTGCAGGCCATTTCTGCAGCCCAATAGGATGGTGACCTCTGCGCTGTCATGGCTCTCTTCAGTTTTGCCCTGTGTGTTTTGTCGTTGTTGAGGCCTGGAAGCTTTTTGCATTTCACCGTATTAGTATTCTTAACCACAGGAGTGATAAACCTTTAAAACTACCTTGTTTTAGAGATAACTAGCTGATATAACTTTTGAAATTGGAAGAGACAGACTATTGTATTTTTGGTTGGATGCTGGTTAAAAGGCATTCTCTACCTTACAACGTTTGATTTATTATATTGTTTGGGTGTGTATCCATATTACTTTTAATCAAATAAACAATTTGATCTATCTATATTTAATCAAATAGATAATTTGGTTAGTTGACCAAATTATGCTTTCATTTGGTTTTTGTCATTGTTCTGATTACAGATGAGTTTGCTGTAACACAATGCACTCCAATTTGAAGAAGCATAGAGGATGTTTTTTAATCTTGTGCCTTAATAAAATTTATTAAGATACTATGTTTGGAGAATAAAACTGTTATATATACACACACACACACATTTATATTTTGAAGCTAGAAATTGAATGACTTTTATGTGACCTAGCTTTTGTATGTTGTAGAAAAACTTAATTTGCTTTAGTGCAAATTACCAAAAAGAGAATAATGGTTTCATTATTTTATGTGGAAAGCCGTGGCTTATATTCAGACCTTCTAAAATTTTTTTGTCACCATTCCTAGTCCAAACTACTAACCTTGTCCAAGAAAACTGAGGGAGAGGACGTTAAAATTTGAACAGCACACGCTGTTTCCATAAGAAGAGAAAAACAAGGCTCATATTTAGTATTTGAACACAGAACTTTGCTCTTTTTTGAACAGGGAGTTACTATCTAGATAATAGTTGCCCCTCTAGGTTAATAACGAGTTGGCCATCATGGACTGAATATAGCATAGAGGCATTCTTTCTCTCAGGAAGAATATTTTCCTTTCTTAATAATTCCTGGTGTTAGTTGGACCAGGAATGCTAGAGAAATTTTCAGTACTTTTGGTTTGCTTAGATTCTGGCTGTTGTTAGCAGATGAATGGAAATGGAAAGTATTCTAGGAAAAACAATTGCCTGAACTTTCCCTAACCTTGAAGGCCTGCTTTGGGTTTGGGTGCAGGGTGGCAGCTTCTCCCACCCTGATCAAGTTCAGCTCTGCTGTTTTTCATCTGAAGGCAAAATCCTGACTCTGGCTCTTAAGGGCAGCTCACTTTTTAACGTCATGTTTGCCGTTGTGTATGTCAAATGAACATTTTACAATGAGGTATGTGTTAATCTGGGCATTTTTCTTAATTGCTGGGCAGTTTCCGCCAAAAGCAACATCAATATATTAATGCTCCCCTCCAAGTCATTGCTGGCTGAGAACCTATTCCATCTGGAAAAATATCACACGTTTTATAACTTAGTGTAGTCAAGTGAACAGACCTAATCGAAATAATTACAGGAAAATGACGATGGGTTTAATCTTGTGACATCATGCAGACCAGTTTCACACCCTGTTGCTCCAACTGGCATCACATAAGACTTTTCCATGACTGCCCGAAAAGGAATAGGAGGTTATGGTATTTAATGTATTTTGGACCTGTTAGATTTGAAACATTGAAGGGAAATGACTAAGCCTCTCCATTTATTTGCCTTTTTCCAGTACAGAAATGCATGGAAAAACATGGCAGTAAAGTTTCTAGAATATAGTTTAATATCATGCAGAACACTAATGAACTCATTGGTGAATATGGGCAAAAAGTGATAAGCATCACGTTGCTTGGGGAATTGGTCAAAATATACCATGTGCCTGTTTATTATCAATTTGGTTACTAGTCTGTGTGGCATTTTAAGCATTTTTTCTTCTTTTTCTCCCCCTGAACTTCCTCCCGGACAAGGGTGGTGGATTGTACACAGCTGTGCCTCAGATTGATCCCATGGAATGCATTAATTGTCGAAATTGTCGAAACAACAATAGGTATGTTGATATATATTTTTACAAGTTGCGAATAAGATGTCTACCTCCTTTTCTTTCTTCCAGCAAAGGAAGTTCTTTAAGTTTTACCTAAGATATAAAGCTCAGAATTTGCAGTCTTACATTTTGGGCTGTTAGTAAATTTTGCCCTGTTTTATAACTTCTAGTTTTATGTCTTGTTTCTATAGTTATACAGTGACAGTATTAATGGATTTGTTTCTCCCTGAAATATTATTAAAAAGTGTGAGATATCTGAAAATTTTAAATTGCACTCATTCTCTGTACATAGACAATTTTTTTTTCACCTGATATTTTCTACTTTGTTAGGGGTTGTTAAGAGAAAGAATGAGAGACTAGTTAAGTGTTGAGGCAGGGGAAACCCTTGTGTAAATATTATATATATATACATTTATATATATATATATAACTGAAGTATTTAGAAATATTTTAGAAATATTACTGAAATACTACTGTAATTTTATAGTACTGTTACTGAAATTTTCCTACTAGATTACCCAATGGTTTCTTATTTTAATTCTTAATACTTTAACAAAATCTTGCTGTTTTTTAATTGTTTTAATTTTAAAAGCTATATTTACTGACAATATTTCACACGCTATAGAAATATGCTGAGTAATATGTGTGTTTAAATTTCGACTGAATAGCTTTCATGCTACCTCTATAGGTGTGGATTCTAACGGATTAGCAAGTCTTTTATTAAATTTGTCACACAAATCTTTGTTCTTTTTCATAATGATAGTATTGGAATACACGCTTTCCTAAGTTCTTCTCAGCTCTAAAACTCTAAGACTAGAGAACTGTGTCATAGTTAATCCATAAAATCAATGGAGTATGGATTAGAGTTTGGATATTCGTTATTGAAATGAGGTTTGACCTACAGTTTTAAAATGAATTAAAAGGCCAAGTATTGCCTGGGAATTACTGAAACCAGAACTCAAAGAAGGCTCTGGTCAACCGTGCAGTTGAAAGCAAGTGTTTCAGTAGTGCTTTGGGTGTCAGAGCAAAGGCAGTGAAGTTTGTTGGGGGCTTTCGTTACCATTTACTTGACCCATCTTAGGGTTTCTGTGCCTATCTTATGTACTACAGTTTACTGGTACATATTTAAATTCTGTAAACTCTAGTTTTGAAAAATGTTCATAATGGTGAAACCCCGTTTTTGTCCTGAGCTTGTCATAGACATGACCAGTTTGTCAGGAAACATGCTAAAGAACTGGTAAGATTGATTCCTGTACCTGGTAAGTAGTCAGATGGATTTAATTACAGCCGATGGCTTTGCCTGAATACGTCATTGTGTTTCTTTGTGGTTCTTGTGGCTACCAGCAGATGCTGATGCTCCCTAGACATTAGAATGGTACTGTGAGAGGACCTCTGGTCTAACAAGTTGACCTATGCTTTGCGATTGCTTTACCTGTGATCTTGGGAAAGTTCTATATGTCTCTGACGCTGCTTCCTTATCTGACAAACAGAGTATCCTAAGTAATGCTCCCAACCAAATCTGATTGTAGACTTTGGTAATATTCTGCCCATCCTCCTGTCTTTATGTTGAGGTATCATCTTAGTACCAATAATGCGTTTTATTTGCTGAAAAGGATTTAAATGATCTCTGTCATCTTGCATTCATGGCCACTTATGTGTGGGAGTGGGTGAGTGCATAATATTTGAAGGCTTTTCCTTATACATAGCTTTTTTTTTCTTTTGGACAATTGCATTTCTATTAACTTTCAAGTTGATTTTCGCATTTCATGTTTTGGAGTTTTACTATTATCTGGAAACATGGGTAAACTCTCTTCAGCTTGGAAAAATTAGCTTGTATCTTTCCCTGGCTTAAATTTTATTTCTGCCCAAGAATGTACCTGTGTAGGGCATGTCTATAATTTCTTGTCTTGCCTCTATGGTTAATTCATGTCCCCAATAGCTCCTAGAGCTGTTGCATGATTTTGACTTAATAATTGGACAGATATATATTAGTGAGTCCCTACTTTCAACTCTGGAAAACTCAAATTATTAAGTTTCACTCTCTAACTCTTAACATTGAGAACAAATATCTCCCTCAAAATGTAATAAACTTGAGTGCTGAGAAGTAGATAACACAAGAGGAGTTTAAAAAAATCTATGGTGAAATGAACTTAAAATATAAGCTTATTTTGGTCCAAAATTTTATGAAATACATAGGTTTTCCACAATATGCACTTCCACGAACCTTTTGAAGTACCCTCATATATATGACTTACTCCCCAGATATGCAAAATTGAGTCAACTTTTAGAATACAGGCATTATTACTGAGAACAAATTTGCATTTCCTAATGCCAACTGAAATAATGTGTACATAAAAAGAGGTGTGATTTCATTTAAGCTTTATGAGAGCTGCAAATGGGCATTGTAGAGTTTTTGGCTACTCTGCCAAAAAAAATTTACAGAGCACTAGCCAGGAGCTATAACAGATTCTGAGGTGTTTCCATGTAGAAGAAATTACAAGAGCAGTCATGGAAGTAAGAAGGATAATATTTATACAAGACTAAATATGAGTGTACTTCAAAAAGTTCATGGAAAAATGAAATTAAGAGATGTTTATTTTGCTGTAGAAATATTTTGAAATCATGTATGCGAGGAATCTTTAAAAAGTTCATGGAAAGTGTGTATTATGGAAACTAAGCATAGATTTCCAAAGTGATTTTTTTCTACCAAAGTAAATTTAGCTTTTAATTCCATTTTCTCACAAACTTTGAAGTACCCTTGTAGTTGAATTCAGTGATTCTCAAACTTTAGTGTGGATTAGATTTACTTAAAGTATTTGTAAAAACACAGATTACTAGATTATACTCAGATTATATTCTGATTCAGCATGTTGGGGGTGAAGACCTCAGAACTTGCATTTTTGATGAATTTCCCAGTGATGTTAATAGTTCAGGAGCCATGCTATGAGAAATACTGGAATGATTCGACTGGATGGGGAACTACAAGGAGAGCGTGATAGGATACAAAACTGGAAAAAATGTACTGATTACTGTATCATTGATAACCTTGAATTTCAGGTTTTAGTAGTTCATCTAATGAAAATTTATTGAGTGCCTACCACGTACTAAATACTAGCTGAAGCCCAACCTTAGGAAAACACACAGTGTAATTGATAATCAAGATTCTCAGGAGTGGGTCTTATGGCGCAGTAGGTTAACTTGCTGCTTGGGATACCCACATCCCATATTGGAATGCCTGGGATTGAGTGCTGCCTCCGCTTCCAATCTAGCTTCTGGCCAGTGTGGATCCTGGGAGATAGAAGCAGATGGCCCCAGTAGTTGGGCCGCTTATGTCCATGTAGGGGAACCAGACTAAGTTTACAGCTCCTGGATTTGACCTGTTGTGGGCATTTGAGGAAAGAACCAACAGATAGACTTTCTCATCACTTTGTTTTGACAGTGAAAGTGCAGCAGGACTTGAATAATCAAAAGAGAGATATAGATTAAATGTTGAGAGACACTGGACTAGCAGCACCATCATTGTTGGGAAGCTTTTTGAGAATAGGAGGGGTCTGTTTCAAGATGTGTTAAGGCTTGATGAACAGTGAGAATGTAAAGGTTGGATTGGAGGGAAGATATTGGTTAGGCATCTGCTTGTGCCTCTAATTCTGCCTTTCAAATAAATAAATAAATATTTTTAAAAGATTTATTTATTTATTTGAAAGGCAGAGATACAGAGAGAGAAGGAGAGGGAGAGAGAGACAGAGAGAGAGAGGCAGAGAGAGAGCTCTTTCATCTGCTGGTTCACTCCCCAAATGGCTGCAATGGCCAGGGCTGGGCCAGGCTGAAACCAGGAGCCAGGAGCTTCTTCCAGTTCTCCCATGTGGATGCAGGGGCCCAAGGACTTGGGCCATCTTCTGCTGCTCTCTCAGGCTCATTAGCAGGGAGCTGGATTGGAAGTGGAGCAGCCAGGGCTTGAGCCTGTGCCCATTTGGGATGCTGATACTGCAGGCAGAAGCTTAACCTTCTATGCCACATGACTGGCCCCTGGATATTCTTTTTATAAGAGATCTCTTGTTTGTTATTATTATTGTTTACTTTTTGCCTTGACATATCTTCAGGGAATGATAAAGGTGGGGAAAGGAGAAGGAGAAATAAGGAGAGTGAGAAAGGAAAAGAGGACCTATTGTTTCATTCGTTTAACAAACCTTCATTGAAGGTCTCTCACGGGCCAGGCACCAAGCAAGCTGCTGGGGACATGGTGGTGAACATCACAGGCAGTGTCCCCTGCCTGAGTGAGTAGAGCTTAGAGTTTGGTAGAAGGTCCCTATCTTTTTTACAAAATGCCATAAATTATGAAATTGAATATGCTATGAAAACTGATGCCTTGAAGTAAAAGATGAGAGGAAAGACCTCCATAAGCAAGTGATATTTTGCCAAACTCTGAAGAATTTGTAAAATATGGTATGAGGGAAGAGGAGAGGTCAAAAGCTTTCCAGGCAGAGGTACTGTTGTACACGGTCCCTAAAGCAGAATGCCTGAATCCTCAAAGAATTGCAACAGGGCTCATCTAGCAGGGACCTCGTAGGTGAAGGGATCAGAGTTTAAACCCGAGTAAAATCAGGTCCTAGAGCCAAGGACATGAAAGACATGAACAGGACCATGTTGTGATAGAACCCAGACTTTTTTTTTTTTTTTTTTTTGACAGGTAGAGTTATAGACAGTGAGAGAGAGACGGAGAAAGGTCTTTCTTCCATTGGTTCACTCCCCAAATGGCCGCTACAGCTGGCACTGTGCCAATCCAAAGCCAGGAGCCAGGTGCTTCCTCCTGGTCTCCTATGTGGGTGCAGGGGCCCACGGGCCATCCTCCACTGCCCTTTGGGCCACAGCAGAGAGCTGGACTGGAAGAGGAGCAACCGGGACAGAATCCAGCACCCATATGGGATGCCGGCGCCGCAGGTAGATGATTAACCAAGTGAGACATGGTGCCGACCCCCCCAGACTTTTTTTTTTTTAAGATTTATTTT